GATAGAGTTCATAAATTTCAAATGCATGAAAGCAGAGACAAAAAACATACCGCGATGAAGAACTCCGCTGAAAGTTCAGGAGAGAACGGAGATTTTATCAGAGTGATGCGCCTTGATGTGTTCGATTTATGAGAAGTTCGCTCGAGCCAAATTCTAATAGTTGGACGTCGCGCCAGAACACGAGATAGAAACGGTGATGTGGCCCATTCTTCGGAAGCTGGATCTTTTCGAGAAGCTACATGATTCACATAGACTACCTACAAGAAAGTCAATTAAGAACTGTCGCTTGAAGATCGTCGGAATTTCTGGAATATGTTTTTCCGGGAGCTACATATCATGTATGGAAGACCCACCGCAATATCATGACGAAGGGCCACATTGCATAAAATTGTGAGCACCCGCCGCCAATTCTGAAAGTCGTCCTTATGACGACTGCCACGGAAGAACGTTGCGATAGAGTCAATAATCAACACCGAAGTCTGAAACGGTTGTACATTAGGACCAAGGATAAGCTACTTTCAAACCTTCCTATACAATCATGGCCTTCAACTGGAGAGGAAATAAAACCAATAAGCATGATGCATTTTTTTGGAACAAAAAAAAATTTTAAGAGATGTTTTGTGCTCCAGTTTCCAATTCTGACAAGAGCTTATTGTGACCTCCACTCCGTTGCCATTCTCACTGTACACAATATGACTCAGGTGCAAGGAACTACCAACGATGCGAGCAATACTTTGTGATAGCAGCAATCTTCAAATAAGTTTAGCGTGTATAATCTCAGTATGATGATAGAATGTGCTCAACTTCACTTTCAGCCCCATAAAATCTGTTATAAGCCTTATTTGTCATTTTCTAAGCCACCTTACCTTATCCAGCTCTTCAGTCGTCTGTTCAAGCTTGGTTAACACGTGCATAAATTGCTCCATTGTGCTGGGTGACGAGATCAGCAGACGTTGTAGTGCTTCTTCAACGTTTTCCGCACGAAATTGCAACATCTGAATTGGCTTCGTGAAAATCATCACGATCGACACACAGAAAATTTGAACTCAACATTTCCCTGACCCTGAGATCAAAGATTCCTTGAGCTCCAATGTCTGACGAGCCTCTTTGTATTCTTAACAGCCTCCCTTTCTTTCAAATTTTCATAGCCTACGTACCCATCTCCAACCTATTCGTATTTGTCCAATTGAGATTCATTTGAGTAGCTACACATACACCTGTACATCCACCTGCCCCTCAAAACAGCATATAAAAACCGCTGGTTGGTTACACAAGAACTAAACCCAGGAGAGCGGAGAAACATCACGGAGAACTAAAGGTTCCTCACGTCCTCCCCAGAATCCCTCCCCATCCCTGAGGCTCAGCTCCAAGTTGATTATGTGCCTTACTCACTTCAACACGACGACTTGAGCGCTTGAAAAGCTGAAAAATAGCTGGAACTGGAATCGACTCATTTTCAGTTCAGCCTTTGGAAACTTAAGTGCTATCACAAGACGGCGGCATTGCGACGGCAACGAATTCAAAACCGCGGTAAACTTTTATTCCCTTTTATGAATGCTCAGTCTCAGCCTCATGGGGAGAAGGGACTACGTGAATAATTCTCAGTTCTCCGAACTTTCTGCTCCTCTAAGGCTCAATACGACACTCCGAGAAATTACTTTGCATTTTTTCTTCAAAGCAGGATCCTAACAGGATCTCACTTTTAAAACGCCAGTAGGCACTACAACAATTCTTATCAAACTGATGGTTGACGGACTACTTGAACCCCGGTCCTTTAACCGCCTCAGATCCATCTCTCGTCTGGCTATCTCACCTTATCTCTACCTGATCTCTCACGCTGATCTCACCGTCAAAACCTTATGCGCACAACTGTAATTGGCTCACCGCGCGCTCGAAGTCCCTCCTGCTTCAGCTTATTCAGGTTCTCCCATCCTTGCCGCTGAATTGGAGCCGAGGCCAGGCGTTCGTTCTCTAACTGTCAAGTTTCCTCCAATTCGTGCGGAACCATGGAAGAAGTTCAAGTAGCCGAAACGGACCAAACTGATAGTTCAAACCTGGTGAGTTCTCTTGTCACGAGAAGCGGGTTCGTTCCACCGCACACCAACTTGTGACCGTTACCCATTTGCCAACAAGCGCAAACTGCATGCTTAAATTCATAAATTGTGGCAAAACTACCAAAAGTTAAGCAAATTTGAACTCAAAAAATTACCATATTTGCGACTTGCCACATCCTGCTTCACCTGAAATCTCGGTAACTGTCCCCGGAAGAAAGCCACCACCTGTTCAATAAGGTTAATTGTAGCTTAACGTATCACATCAAGATAGAACGAGTTCAAACATGATTACCTATCAGGTCATCGAGAAGCGGACAACCCGATGACAGAGCAGCCGAGTTGGACGATTCGAAATCGTGAAGTTCCCGCGCGTTTTTGAAAATCACTGGAGGGCTTTGCGACATGTCTTTACTATAAACGCTAATCAAAACAGGGTCTATTCCAGTTAGGGGGGGCATCATGATGCAGTTTTTAAGAAAGCTAGGGTAACTCCGAGCCAGGGGAGTGTAGCCAGTCTAGGGGGGGGGGGGTGAGGGCAGTCACTTGACATGCGTGAAAAGCTGGAATGTTCGAGTTCACACTAGTTCGCCGAGAAACTGCATCATGATTTACGGACTACTTGATTTTTCCTCAATGGTCCTGCCGCGATGGCTAGAGCACAGACGATTAGAGAACGGGTGAATGCCCTAGGACTAAGCCTTGGAGAGGAGAGGGACCCGCGAGAGAGCGCAGAGGTTTAAAGGGCTGAGTTCAAGTAGTCCGTCAACTATGATGCTCCCCCTAATTGGAATAGACCCTCCAAACATTTCTTATAATATGCTAACAGCGCCGCTTTTCGAGGTAAGTAACAAAGGAAACCACGGGTATTATCCAGTAAGGGGGAGGGGCATGTGCAACATTTCATGCCGGCTAAAGTAATCGAATTTTTCGCAGGAGAAATACATGTAGGCCGCTAGGACAGAGAGTGACTTTTCTTTTTCGCGGCGCGAAACGTTTTCGCTGCGGGAATCCCACGGCCACCCCTAATCAGGGACGGGGCTCTCGCAGCGAGAAAGCGAAAAAAGTCGCTTTTCGTTCTCATTCTCTGCCCTGATACGCACTCACTGTCACTCTGCGGGCCGTATTTGCACGCAAAAAGGAAACGTCAACTAAGGCTTAACCTCAAGTCCTTATGAAGGTGTTACAGGGTCCCAATTATTCAAAAAAACTTTCGAAGCATACCGGAACCTGTGACCGTGCCTAAGCGCGACATGTGATTGCAGCGGTCATCGTTTTGGATATTTTTTTGGCGCTCATTGCCTTGGGGAGGTGGGGGGGGCTTCAAAACAGAGCCGATTGTAGATGACACTAGGACTGATGCCGAGAGAGGGGAGAACGCAAGGGAGAACAGAAATTGCTCACATCCTCCCCAGGATCCCACACCCTAACGACGTGAGCACCCGTCTTCCAATTCCTGTGTTGTTCCTGGCAAGACATTGGCTGGGTCCAGCAAGAACTACCAGAAACCTGTAACAATAAAAACTTCTTCACTGAGGGACCCCCACGTCCAACCCTGGTCATTGGACTTGGTGTTCCTGCGGCGAAAAAGTTTCGCGCTGAGAAAAGCGAAAAATTGTCCTAGCGGTCCACATACCCACGCCAGTTATACGCCTCGGTTCATTACTCAGTTGGCGACTATCCCACTTCAAATATTCAAAGTCAACGAAAAGGCAGTGTTAAAGCTTTATTCAACATGGCAGCTATAGAATAATACGAGGCGATTTATAAATGGAATCTGCATCAAATTTATTACTAAACAAGCACCACAAATTATAGGCGCTTCCGGTGTGAGACATCTCAAAACGCGCGCAATCATGATCACCCAGCCCGCGCGCAAATTCGAATTGAACTGCGCGCGGGCTGGATGCGAATACGGTATTGATTGGTTGGAGTTTCAGTCATGATCGCGCGCGCGTCTCCCTATGCGCATTGCGATTGATGCTGCTGCTTTCGTGAGAGCTTCCTGTCCTTGTTTCGTTTTGGTGGCACAGGACCCGTTATGACTTCCTTAAAGCATCTTATTTTGTGTGATTTACGTTTAAAAAATACAAATCCACTAAAAATCATTGAAGAATAAATTGCACACCTGACGTCCATAGAAGTACTTGTACTGCTCACTGCGTATGAAATCCATGACTCCTTGGGCACCTCTGGCATCGAACTGCTCCTGTAAGTGATCTCATCGTTATATTAATTACGGTTGTTCCGCAGGTTTTTCTCAGGATCTTCCCCGCAATTGTACAACTGCCGGGATGGTGCACAATTTGTCTCGCCAAGAGGGTCTTATCTCACAGTCGCGCGCGGTTGCGATGCGTCTCACATACGATTCCAAACACTAGTGTGTGAAATGTTCACCCCCTCCCATCCCCCAACTACCTTAGCACCTAGTTTTTCTTCTATGAATTTGTGATCAGCTATAATTTCTCTCTATCCAAATATTTTTTATAGATTGCAAACTCCATACCTGAATGCTTGGCACCCAAGGGTTGTGCTCGAGCCTGAGCACTTGCTTATTTCCAATCAAATCAAGCGCTCCAACCTCTGGTGGTAGCACGGTGAGACGATTACCTGTAAAATAGAGCACATTTTATCTCGCGAAAACCTTACTGTAACATTACTACGCGAGTATTACTAGCGTGAAAGTAAACGAGGGAAATCTAAATCCAGATACTTTCTTAAAAGTAGGTTCTACGAGGATTTAAAGGCACACACCATGATTACCGGACATTTGTTGCAGGGCTCGATTATGAAACGATATGCTATGCATGCTCTACAGTGGAGAAAGAAGTGGAAAAAATTCTGCCGAGAATGCTCCGAATGAGGTTGGTCTTTTGCTAATCTTGGGCCGTATGTGAGGCCCTGCGAAGAAAGAAGAGCGTGTGCGGATAAGGGGTTATGACGGCGAATGCATGAGAGACCATGAAAATAGGAGAGACGCAGGCAGGAAGAGACGGACAAAGGAGGCGTGCCACCAGCGCTTGGGATCTAATAGCATCGCTCCCAAACCGCTTTTGGCAAATATGATGCACATAGCCTTCTCCGGCACCTCTCACTAGCTTGGCCACAGTGAATAGATTACTGTTAATCGAGTACAGTAATTGTAGAGTTAGGATGCTAACCTTGAATATGTAACTCTTTCAGGTTGGTGAGATGTCCAATTTCTCGTGGAATAGTCAGCAAGTCGTTGTCACGCATAACCAAAATCTGGAAAGTAAAATAGTAATTATTGATTGTTACCTGATCAATTATTGATTCCAAGCGACAAAATTGTGACGTAGGGCAAAAGTGTTACTAATGTCACCAATTAAATAAGCAAATTAGTAAGTAATGTAACTGTTCACCTGGAGATTACGAAGATTCATCACATCACCAGGTAACATCTCAAAATCATTGTCGCCCAAGTAGAGTGCCCTTAGAGTATCTAAAAATGTAGAAAAGAATTTTAGAATGATTGAAAAAATCCAAAAAGGGAGTAAAGCAGCGGAGATGGCGATTGTGCATAAATTTGACGCTAAAAATTTTCGAGCAAAGAAGTAAGCATGGCGCATCTTCGAGGGCGTCATATAGCACCTGTATGTGTAGTTTTGAGAGCAGTATCATATGTGGTCCAGTCAGCCCATCTCCTCGTAAGCTTGGTTGACAGGAAACAAATTCAGGCTACGGAACAGGCCGTGGAATACTCTATGGGAGGAGGGAGTCATATTGAACTCCAAGGAGAGCAGAAGGTCATGCGGGGTGGAACTGGCGAGGTATTTTCGGAAGTGAATGGAAAAAAATATTTTCTAACGAGTCGGGTAACATTTGAAAAATTCGCGGAAAGTTGGATTTGTATGCATGGTTCCATGAGCCCCACCCAGGTTAATTTTTGAGAAATCCGGGGGTAGGTTTGGTAGAGAGGTTGGTTAGAGTTGTAACAGAAGGGTCATTTGCTGACTCTGAAACTGTCCATAAAACTGCAAGCTTCCCCAGTACCCACGCTCGGTTTACCTGAATTCAGCTGGTAGGGTAGTCAGGTTAGGCCTTGAGGAATAGCCTAAGAATGGGGTAGGACTCACGTGGGTGGCCATGACATTACAAACACATTAAGCAGGGTCTAAGGGTCTTTTTAACCATCGTAATATTCTGAATTTTGGAACGATGCCTCACCGATGAAGAAGAAGTTTCCAGGAAGGCTTCTTTCGTTTAGATTGTTATAGGTCAAGTCCAGAATTTCAAGCGATTTGAATGAACCAAATCCTCGTGGCAGAACAGAAAGTCGATTCATTCCTGAAGTAATCCATAGTATCCAAGTTAAAAAAAAAGTTTCATGTACCTTAACCGTTTTTTTTTTGGAAAACGTGTGAGGTACAAAAAGCTTACCACGTTGAGGATTCGAAAGCTTCGAAAGAACTCGAAAATGAGGATGGTAGCTCTTAGCGATCGCATAATTAATTTCCATAAAGTGAGCACCTGAAAGATGAATTCAATACTAGCCTGATTTCTCCTCCCTTATACCAATTTTTGTTATTTTTTTTTGTCGAGTACCAATGCCTACAAAAGAAACTTCCTTAGGATTTTGGTCAAGCCAGGGCTGGAGAGGTCCCCTTTCATTCCCACGACCCATGAAGGGAATCCATCTCTTTCCCCTTCTCTACGTTTTCAGCAATCAGGACTTACATTTTTCAGAAGTCAGGAATGGATTGCAGGCTCATTTGGGAAAGAAACAGCGATAGAATCCACCGACTCCCGTATGTCATTAAATATCCATTCAAGCGCCTCAACGATTTTTGATGGGAGGTGAAAGTATGGCGGACCCAATTTTGATGGCTCCATCTATAGACAGAAAATTTCGGAATTATTGATGGCTGCAAAAATGAGCAGAACGCCAAAATTCAAGCTCAAAATTCTCAAGAGCTGGGAGTGATCCCATCTCCCCGGCTAGAATTTGGCTATCCGGTCCACAAAAGCAGAACAGAAGTGGATTCAGAACTTGAAATTGATCCTATTTAGTGTATTTAGCGCAGCGGTACTTAACGGTATTTCAGTACTCGAAGCTGAAAATATCTTACAGAACTCTGACCCAGCATTTTGAGCGGAAAATGTGAATTCATTAATCAATTGGCAGGACCTCCGAGACCTGCCTTTTACTTATGAAGCCAGGAAAAAGGCTGAATTTGTAGAAAATTCAAATCTTTTTTAAATCTGCTAGACCATCGACTAACCTGAAGATTTTCCAAATCCGCGATATTCGGTGGAATAGCGGTGAGCTTGTTGTGACTCAACGTCAGTCTTGTTAGATACGTCATTTCAACTTAAATAGCGTATATGGAATTAGTAAGGGAACTTAAGGCCTTTATAACAAATGAGGCTAAAGCTTCTGAAGGAAAAATAAACTTGAAGGTGAAAAATTATCTCACAAAGACGTGGAATGCCGTTCAGTGACGTCAGGTTCCGGTCGACATGGTCAAGCTCAGTATTGGGCTCATCCTTTTTCTTGTCTTTCGGCATTGCTTAACTGGAAAAGAGAAATAGATGACTTATTGATCGATCTATTCGGTATGAGATATCCCGCGTAAAATCGATACGTGATAGTATATTTCACTAAAGGATACTCTTCGCATGAATAATTTTCTTACAAACAAAA